ATTCGGGGTCTAATAGTAGCGGCGTCAACGATCGGACGTCTATCAGCTAGATGGACAATGGGTTGCCCTATCACTTGGACTAGTTTTCCAGCTCAGAAATCGCGTCGAATGGGCGGCGCGATCGGAAGAATCGCGCCAAACGACATACGTTATTAGCATATCCATGCCGATGACGAATAGTAGTGGATAAAACACTTAGCCTTGATGTTCCCCGACAAAGATGGGGAATTCTGATGAGCTTTTGCTGCTGTTAGCAATCCAATAGTTAAGGTTAAATAGGTATAACGCACCCACTCAATAAGAAACTCAGGAACCCGTGCTATAACGAGTAACACTATGTAACTTCCCGCGAAACGCGATTGGAGGCCTTTTCTAGGTCCATGAAAGGGACTGAAAGTGAAAGTGCTTTCCGTTCTTGCGATTTCTTACCAACAAGAGGCGAGCGACATGCATTGCATCGGTGGCACTGCAACCTCGGACAAAGCCATACTGACTGGTGGAATACTGAACGAGTTTTTGAACACGGCTGCCTACACTAGGTTCATACATCTGAATCTTCATATTGTGCGAGCAATTGACGATAGCTCGTGCAGTCTGCAGAGACCACTATGTGAGATCGGGAGGGTAATATTCTGCTACCAACTTTCATCCTCAGTCAGGACCAGTTGCCTGGCCAGATGCCATCCCCTTCAGAGCTAATTCCATTTCCTTCACTGATATACTCTATAGCGTACCAAAGTTCTGCAACAGATACCATTTCCATGGCTAGAAAATGGAATGATGGTACCGCTGGATTAGTATCAAAAAGATGCGCCACGGAACACCTTCCTCTACGCTGACGACCTCTATTGCACTGGCTCTGATAGCGGGAAATAGGAAAGCATTTCTAGACAAGTTGCAGAAATGGCAGACCGTTTCGGCAGAGCATGGGCTTCAGCAAAACATGAAAAAGATTATGTTCTTCGTTCTCAAGAAGTGTGCGGAGCCAATAGTAATTTTCCCTACCGAATGAAAAGAAATGACTCAAAAGAATTCGAGACTTCCGATACCCAGGAATTGATCTAGCTATCAAGGATAGCGTGGACTAGGCTGTCAAGGGAGACGGTACGAACGTGCGTCCGAGGGTGCGCGCGGCAAATTTCGCGGCGAAGTTCGTGACAATTTGTACGACTGCGGCCTCAATTTTCGAGGCACAAACTCGAAGTAGGTAGTTTAGCAGGGTGAGTTGATCCTCCTAATCCACTCTATTTCGAATTTGGGCCCCAATGATAGGCACCAAAGTCGTTCAAATCATTACGAACTTCGCCGCGCATTTTTCCGCGTGCATCCTCGGACGCACGTTCGTACACATACCCGGCTGTCAATGCCCGAGTTAATGCGGCACAGGCGAAATAGAAAGAGTCCAATGGCATCCCCTGCCACCAGCGCGGCCCAACTAGACTGGAAGAAAAGTTATGTAGAGCAGTAGTGAGGTCCGCGATGCTCACGACGTCGAATGCTGATCATGCTAGCAAGAATCATGAGAAGCCACTTCGCGCATCAGAAATGAGATTGGTTAGATGAACCTGTGGTTTAAGAGTCTGGTATGGGTCAGAAATGATGAGGCGACGAGGAGGACCCGACGAAGCGACGGCGATTCATAGAATGAAATGAAGGCATATGACAAGGGAAATTAAATCGTTGAGAAAGCAACATTTAGCTGGGGAGAAGAAAGAAGAAAGAAGATGAAAAAAGAATGAACAAGAGACAAGAAGAGGAAAATGAAAGATAGGAGTCTACGAATACGACGATGAAAGCGGTTCACTGAAAGGACCCACCTCGATGTCTCTTAAGCAGTGGTAGGGGAAGGTCGGCAGATGTTAACAAAAACATTAGGAGAGAAGAAAACGAACTCGGATGGGTTCGTGAGAAAAGGGAAAGGAAAGGGCTGAAATCATCGGCTTTTTGCCAAACCCATGGTCGTATTAAAAAGTATTCATTTCAATAATCCCGTTCCAACCGCATCGGCACTGTTCCGTGAAAATCAGTCCTAACATTACCTACTTCCATCTTGAATATCTTATACTTTTCAGCNCCCTTACAAACAAAAGGTCACTATGGTTCAGAGTAAGCCACTGCCGGTCCGTAGAGATATAGCTGTTCAATAGTTTCTCCTCCTTTATACTGAAAAACATTAATGAATACTGATGAGAAAGTAAACGAGCATGCACCCTTTGTCTACAACCAGCATTACAATGCCTTATCTTCAATAATTATGCGAGATCAGCGCTTCAACAAGAATGAGGGGCGGTAAGTACTCTTACATTTCACACTTGTCCGAAAGAATGAAACTTTACGACTATCACGCGCTGTCTCAGAAACGTTCCTTAACGCGCTGGTAATCGAAACACCCACGTTCCTCAGCTATACTTTTTTTCCATGATGTAACAAACAAGAATTCGTATCCCTTTTTGAGGATAACAAACATCAAGCTGCACCAAATCCGAATACAATAACACCAACCTCATCGAAATCTGGATTCAACAGAACTGCCTCACGTCGTTCAGTCTCCAGCCACTCCAGAACCTTAAATAAGAGTACGTTTTGGTCAAAGAAACGTTTCAGTTGAATTATCTTTTTGAGAATTATCATTTTGTCGTTACCGATTTTGCCTCGGGTGAATTCAATAACGTTTTGTGATGAAACTTGACCCCGTACAGCCAATTCGACCGCGCAACCAAAAAGCAAGAATTATAGAAAGCTACGTTTTCACTATGTAATTCAAAATCAAGACATCGCCTTTCACAGAAAAGTTTCTCGTGATCAGCTCCCTTTAGTTTACATTTCGGCCTTTGCTGATAAAAAAAGTAATCTAGAATTTCACTCAACCAGAACGAGTGCCACACTTTACTGTTTTGCGCAAAAGCAGACAATTTGAGGTAGAAAGAACTGCCTGCTCAGAAGACCCCTTGAAATGAACGGGGTAAAAAATGGCGTTACTGCTCACTACCCGACACATTAGATACATTTGAAACAGCTTTGTTCGGCATTAATGAACATCAAGTCATGCTTGTTTTTCTATGCCTTCAACGCTCTCATCAACAAGACAGTAGTGCTCTGAATGAGCTTCTATAAAAGAACTTGATAGATACGCAGTTTTCCGTTCAGCTTTCTCCATTTAATAATATCGATTACGATGAAATAACACAAATAGCATGTGAGGCATTGCAAGACATACCTCTGTGCTGGTAACAGTACGCTTGTTATCCTTCTCTAACTCTACCCAACGTCTGACAATCTTCTCATCTGTTTCGAACAACTTGCCAACGACATTTCGATGGCAGCCATTTCTCCTTAAAAAAGGATTTTCGATAATCATGCAGGCCAACGTCAATCTCAGGCAAATAAAAAGTTCGCGATGGCGAGGTATTTGTCATGGAGAAAAATGAATGATAACAGGAATGGAAAGAAGAAAAATCTGAACAGACTAGGGAGTGCTATCCAGAGAAATTTGAGCCGTCATACTATTTCTTGAGAACGGCATTAAGAAAACTGTTCGGTACCAGTAGTACTTGCCACGCTCTGTGGTAATAATTAATCCATTTCACAGGGAGCTGAACAGCTAAAGCGAACTCCGTGGATTTGATTGAAACTATAATAAGAAAATGATGGAGCTTTTTTGTTAAAGGAGAAAGGGAAAGCGGGTGAGCGGAGGTCAAGCGGAACTAAATTCACTTGCGTTGGTGTTTCGATGGGAAAATGGACGTTTTTAACCTCCTGTATCGTATGAGAAAACTGGAAAGAGTTGCTTAGCTGGTCGGACCGTCTAATATCGATCTAGAGCTTGATACCCACACAGTGGCAGCATTTTATCCTAGAACTAATTCCCGACTTGTTGAGCGACCTTAGTAAGATCGTAACGGCACACCAGTGATACCAAGGATGCACGGTATGCCAAAGAGAAGGGATTGCAACTTATAGAATGACTGGGCACAAATAGAGCAAGAAAACAAAAAACCGGAAGCAAAAAAGAAAGCTATTTTAAGGATAAGATTTAGGATTGGCGAGATTCTTTAAGGAAAATAGGCTTACTTGTAATACAGTTGGCAAATAGCGCAGTATTTGGGCGGCATCCGATGTTTCCCTTCCCACAAATACTTCGAACAATTGGCGCATTCATAGCGAGGTACTGGTGAAACGGTAGCGCTTGTCAATCTGGAATTCCTTGATGAATCGTTATTGGACATTTCGATAGTGACGTGTTAATTAAGTCCTATTTTTTCAAAACTCCACCTCTCTCTGCACGTACAACGCGTATATCGTTCATGAACACAAGCGCGTCGTTTTGACTGATAATAATATTTTGTGATTTCTCCCAAATAGTACTGTCTCATCTGAAATACCACTGCTAGAAAAATGGCTGGTAAGAACAATGTCGCGAAACTCACGAATTTATCCTGCATAGCACCAAAATTTTTCCCTTTCAGATCTCGGAGAACTCGCTCGAATTCCATTTGTTGGGCGATATTAAGTCTAGACAAAAGAAAAGTTAGCACTAACGTTGCAAGTTAGATAGAAAAATAAAAAAAGATTATAAGAATAGTACGAGTAACACTGGAGATCACACCGAGAAAAAACGTTCAGATGGATAAGTTGTGAACCCGCTTTAATTGACTCATACAAAGGCGAAGGCTGGGCAGTTCTAAGTGGCAAGCGTACACCTAGTTTGGAGGATCCCACACCGAAGCCCCAATAGGCCAACCGAACCGTAAGTCATTTTGGAGTCGGATTCAGCACCCTTTCGCTTAGGAGCATAGGAGCACTGAACGAACAATCTGATGGTAGCAAATCATAGCGCCATATCAAAATCACTCGAAGGACGCTATCATTTTAAAAGGGAGTTGAGTCAGATATGGAATCTACAAGGAACAGTCCTCTTAAAGAATAGGCTTCGAGCAATCCTTTTTCGCGTGCAACTTAGCATTCCATATCCATTTAAAAGTGTAGTTTCGAATGCGTTCTTGGCCTTTGCATTGATTCTATCCAAAACTCTGAATTCTGAAGACTATCCAATGCATATGTAAATGCATTTATGCTCTCCGACTTCCTGGCAAACTCAACAGACCCCGGAGGGATGATGGGCATGGCTAGAGTAAATGGGTATTTGGATATTTGATCCCAAAACTACGTGCGGTAAGGCGCCACGCGGCACTGGTCCTCTGAATTGAAGCTGTAGCAACTTTTTACCCTTGCTATATATTTTTATAAATTAAATATAAATTCTACAAGCTCGCATTTGCGACTCTGAAACTCACTCTTCAAATGGTTGTGCTAGGTTCTTCCATTGTTCCATCTCAATATTTGCCAGCATTGCATCTATATTGTAGTTGTGCTTCATTAAACAATATAACATCTGTAATTTTTCCAAAATCGCTTGAAATTCTCGGCGCTTCGAAGAAGATCAGGAATATATAATTGGCACTAACCGAATCCAGTCCAATTTTGCCACCGTATTGACAACGAATAGCAGACCAAGCATCATCGAGTTCTTCATCTGTATATGAAGTGCTTCCGCTTGGCTCAAGGTGCCACATCTGAAAACAGCAGAGTACAAAAATTACTCAGCCAAATTCCAATGACTAACCGATGATTCGCGTGAAGCACGTCAATAATCTCAATTTTCTAGGTGCTCCGATTATGATCTCTTGAAGTTGACCGTGCATCACACAACTTGCGGGTGCTGTGACTTACAATTCTTCCTAACGCTGTGAGAAAAAACTATTCTACCCTGCATTTTTGTACCCTCTTGATATATGATTATTAGAGAGAGCTTCTAACGGAAGATATCGGGTTGTACTGCGTGGCCTCCTTGAAATCAATTTCTTCATACAGACCATTAGGGCTAATACTGAACATGAGGCTTGGAAGCACTGGCATAATCCATACGCCCGACCGTTCGTAAACATTAGAGCCAATCAAAATGGGGGATTTTTTTGTCAGCTTGACTAAAGCTGAATTATACGTGGAAGAAAAGACGTTTGACCAAGTATCTCTGGGATTACTGATGTACTTACTTGACTTTCTCTGCAAATTGTAGTTGTATTTCTATGAGTAATTACTAGCAAAATGATTTTTCGACCTGGCAGATTATAAAACGACCAGTTGGGCAATGCACACTAACGCGTGCACAATGCCATGCCCACTACCGCTTACCTACAACTTGTTAGAGACCAATATAAACAGTATCGATTGACTTCCCTTTTCTACCGCTTCCCCATTAGGTGATATTCCCCAATTCAGACGATATGATGCCGCTTTGTGGGTATTGATCTCTTGACACTGACANGTGGTCGTGGAATGTTTCCATTCTGGCCTTCTTTAGTTCCTAGAGGTTTGATTGTCCTGAGGCGAGTTGTGATTTTTAATCTGCGACGTCATAAATAGACTGGATATTATTCAACTGACCAATATAAAGGGCATCGTTTGACTCACCATTCCATAGCTGTTTTCACCGCGCTCTTGTGATCTTCACGCTCTTGATCGTGCCTACGTGACTTTTGGGAGGATACACAAATGGGCATACAAACGGACACACAGGGTTAGCGCCTTATATACGGAGAGGATACCTTACTTACAAATCTTTTCCAACTGGCCGACCTTAGGCCAAAAGCAATATGAATTTAACGCACGCTTCAAGCCACAATTCGACATTGCAGCAAGCATGAAACTTTCACGGTCCTTGAAGGCACCGTCACTAGAAAAATAATCCATGATATTTTGCCATAGGATGAGTTCGAGGCCCCTTCTGATACCATATGTCCCATGAAGTCTAGAAAAGTCCTGGGTAGGGCACAATGAGAGGCATTGTATCGTGTGAATGCCACACCCACAGCGGACGAGTCTCGACGGTGTTGTAGAGGCTGCACTATCTCAAAGGACTCCGATGTTAGAAATTCAAACAACTTGCCATGACCATGGCGACAGTGGAAGGCAGTTCCAGACAATTTTGACTTGATGAAGTCAGCGCGCGCGATTTCAACAACTGAAATCTCATTCGAATACTCCATAAATGCCATTGCCGCCACGGTAATCTCGTTCGATCGTTATTTCTACTACTTTTGGAGAGCCTTATTTTTCGCAAGTACGCTGATTCACACGCTCTCTTCACCACCGATGTACTACTCTACATCAACACTTGCTCTTTTCAACTTAAAATGGGTGCCTCGGAATTATCGTGAATTGTGCCTTTAAGATACTCACTATAACAAACTGAAGACAAAGCACAACGGGGAGCTGGCTCATCCGCTTCTAAAAACAAAGCAAGCACGAAAATAATCATACTTACAGGTTCTTCTCTATCAGGCTCCTCATCAATGCTCGAAACTGAAGGCGCCACAAATTCCTCCGCGTAGAATGGCTCGAATGTTGCCTGAAATGGCAACACAGTGGAGAACTTTGAGAACTGCGTGCAGTGAAAGGAAAGGATCTCTCTCATTTCTTTTCACTCGATCTACAATCACCAGCAACAAGGATCTTTGATTAGTCACCTAATCGCAACTTTGAGCAACAGCACATTACCTGATATTCTGGACCGATCTTAGCCGTGTATTCCACATGTATATTCTTTTTTCGGGCGCCGCCAAGTGGAGATATCAGTTCGACAAGACTGCTTCTCGTTCGTGGGCCGACCATATCTATTGACAATTTGTCCTTTTCTTTCGCACCCTTGTTTCGGGGCATAACATTTGGTATGCGTTTGGCACCTTTCGGAGGTTGCACTATGCGAGCTGCAATAGAGTATTTGAACAGAGCTTATTTATCTCTTACATAACAACCAGTGGTCTATAGAAATACTGTATGATGCCATAAATTGAGCACATCAATACGGATCAGGTAGTTTTACAAGCAAAAAGAACACGCGGGTAGTACTGGCATCGCGCCCTTATAAGGTAATTCAGCAACTGCCTGAGCAGCCAACACGAAGCCGACGAGTTTCTTGAAGCCAGAGGGACAAGGAAGGGCTTTCTACGCGCAGTATCGCATTCACGTGATCATGTTCTTGACTGACGCGCATAACTTTCAAGTATCACTTTTTCTCTTCCCCATATTCTATTTCTTAAGCGGATTTGGCCATGATGAAGCATAGGTGTGCATGTGAACGAGGTATCAAGAATGTGCAAAAATGTGATAGCTAAACCAGATTCGTGCAACTGAGCAATCCCTTGTTCGAAAATAGCACACTTTAGTTCGTTACAAGAACTCACGTTGTTTCAGCTGCTTACAGTCCACATAATTGTCAACGAAATCTGCAGCAGATAGATCACATGTCCTCGTTATTCTGAAATATAACCACCGTATACAATCCATTCAAAAAATTTGAGAGCTGTAGAAAAGATCATTCTGCTACAAAATAAGCAGTATGTTTTGAGCAAGACACCCTCCTGCAGTCTCCCAATTGTTCAGTGGTGCCTGTCATAGCACTTCCATTAAGGTGGAATCGCACCGGAGCGCCAAGAAAATTATTTTACAGTTAGATGTCGAAGTACATCTTGGAGAGGAAAATGGGAATGGGTGGCTCGGGTGCGATGTTTATGCAGGCTATAGCGCAAAAAAAAAAAGAAAGAAAGGGAATCAACAAGTGACCTCCTACCTCAAAATATCAAAAGGAATCATATTTGTTAACAGGGATTTCAAAGGACAACATATTCCTTCAGCAATCAAGGTGGTGGGGGAGAAAGATGTAAGGAAGACTTCAGTCTTGAGCGGCAGGAGAAAGTAAGCCCTCCGCACAACTTGTGAATGTCCAACGTTTCTAGCGCTCCGACATAGAGATGAGAGCTTTAGGAAAGAACGCCTGTTCAAAAACAGCTACCTTGGTATGCTTTTTGCTCAACCACAAGAACCCGAATTGAGAAGAAAGAAATCATACTGCTGAATTCGTAATACCAACATGTATTGAAGAGTGCTAAATCATACCTCCCACTTTTCCGCACGGATTCCTCAGTCTTACGAAAACCATTCGACTTGCGCTTCCTGGGCAATCCACCACAAGACGATTGTGCGGGACTTGGCTTTAACTGGAAAAATACAATTCTGAAAGCTAAATCAAGATAATTTTCAGGGAGGATCGTCCTACAGGACGACTAGCTGAAGCTAGAAAAGAGGGACACTCTCCAAAGAGATGGAAACATGAACGACAGCTAAATCATTCAAAGACACAGTACATAAAGATAATGCTAGTCCTCGACCACCTAAGCTCAGTCTCAAAGAGTATGGACCTAAACGGACATCTGGTGACCTGAACCCCATAGCCAATGACTGATGCAGCTTCAATCACTTCACAGAATTCTTCACCGAAGGAAGGGGTTTCCGACAGTTTTATTGATATCTAACACTGAACTCACATGCTTTGCAGTACGTCAGTTCGAGCTACTCGTGCAGGGGAGATTCGCTTGGCATATTCCATCCAAAACAATTGAAAATATTTGATCCACCCCTTCTTTTCGGTACAATGAGCAGAAACGGGATATCCAGGCTTCTCACAAATGCGCGATTATTAAAGGAGGGGTGTATGGTAAAGACCTTCGAGGAGTCTACCGTTATCGAATGCTAAGAAGACTAGTTCTAAAACCTCTCTCCCAGCTCCCACCACGAGAATCACTAGAAATTTCCAATGGCAATGAGTCTTGGGCAGGCACTAAACACTTAATAAATACGCGAAGACTTCATTTTCCCCCCAAAACTTGAAACCATTCCGACACCGATACATTAGCAGTTTAAAGCCTACTGCACCAGTGAGTAGGAGACTCACGTCTTGATCATCTTCCGAAGGTGGAGTGAGGAGACTAGACGTCTTTGATGTGTCGGCCGATTCAGTGACATCGATTTGGAGATCGTTCTAAAATGATATAACAGTGATTCTCAGAAACTTGAAATTATATGTTTCAAGGTCTAGTGCTGATTGTTGATGTAATAAGCAGGAGTTTTGTATAGAACCCTTCTATAACTGCGAAAAGTAACTCGAACAAGTTTACTTCTACCGCATGGGGTAGGTTTGGCTCGAGACTTAAATGGAGCCAACTTCGGCTGTACTTTGGATCTGCAGGCAAACCTTCTAAGCAAAACCACGACGCAAGTGCGTGCGCTCCATACAGGATGAAAGGGTGGGGCTCGCGGTAGTCGACCGAAAACTCGTCCGGAAGCTTGAACATGTGATCTGTAGATCATATTCCACCCCTGCTACAGACCGACATCACATTTGAATGTACTTGAACCTTAACAAATCCACTGGTTTTTGCCTTTTCCGGAAAAGGAGTCTGTGGGGGAGACTTGGGGACGCTGGGAAGTTACCCTTGCCAACTCTGAACTATTCAATCCATCAAACCAGTGTTACATAGACAGAAAAGTTTTGCACAAACCTCAGTGTTGACTTGGCCACTTTGCGAAGGAGCTTCCTGACCTCCGCTTGATGCTGTCATCGACGTCTCCCCTGTGTTCGTCGACGGTTTCAAGACCGACTCTTCCGACGTATTACTATGAACAACTCTTGTATTTGATGATCTTTTGGTTTGTAACAACTTCCTCTGGCACTGTACAACGTCCGTCGAGGAGGATACTCGTCTACTGTGTGGCTTTTCCAATGGAGGACTGGCTCGAACTAAAGGTGACGGTTTCTGCAGCAGATGAGATTGGATGAGTAACGACGGTGCTGTCGATACTCGCTGCATGTACCTTTCGCGGCGAGCCTGATTTGGTTTCCTGAAACAAAAAGATTACAAAAACGTCTACTTATACCATGTGAACGTTCTCAAATGACCAGATTTGGATAGGTTGGTTCCTGAATTTGTACCTGAACAAAGCAAAAAGGTCTGTTATATGCATCAAGGTGTTCAACGAACGCGCAGCGCAACCGCGTGGGTAGAAACGCCCATACCGGAACCAGGAAATGAAGATCAAGCGTTTAATCGCACGCTGTCAGGCACGCATACGATGAACACCCCATCAGGGATGGGATGCCAACTATTTCACAACGGTCTACATATAAAATAAGCAACCAATCAGTAATTTAAGTAACTTATCGTTACATTCTGGAATATTTCGCAACCTATAGTGCCACCAACTTCCCCGAATGTATCGCTCCGGGTAAAAACACCAACGGGCGGTTCTACGAAATCTTTTCCTTGACATTCTAGTGATATTGAGTGACGATGACTAACGAGGAACTGTTTCAATTCATCAGATGCGAATGCGTGGTGAGAGACGCAGAGTGACTGGGGTGCCTAGGCGAGAGAACGCTCTACAACACACAAGAGGCAGGAGACGCAGGAAGACTCTGCGCGCCGCCACCATCATACAATGACTGCGATGAAAGCGTTTTTAGAGACGATTTCTCGGAAATTCTTGCGGATTTCGTGATAAATCAGTAGATGGGAGCTATTCCCAGAAGAAAATTGAGGTTAGAAAAAATTTGATCAAAAATGATGTGAGCAAAAATCGACGGACACAACTCGCTGGTAAAAGCATGAGTGTTGGCGGCGGCGGGCGGCGCGACCTACCGTATTCGACGAGGGACCCGGAGTGTGCCAGGCGATAAAGAAAATATCGATCCTTCGGCCGCCTATCTACATCGCCGGCCACTTCTCGTGGGTACTTCATTCCAAATATGGTCGGTTTTCATATAAGTCAACTACCCGTACGCATCACCCACGTATTGTCGCTCTATTCAGGGATCGAACAACGAGCCCCGGTCAATTGCCTTGGGTGGGTCGTGTTCCCGAAGGTACAGAACATGTTCCCAATTTGCCAAATACCCCTATCCCAGACAGTTCGAGGAACGGTGCTCGCCTCCTTGACTGGGAAATGAGTTGTGGTTATGTACGATCTGACGACTGAGTCATATCACAATAACCTTAGCTCGACATTGGTCATTTGAACTGGACATGGCTGCACTTGGCCTAGTGGTGCTGTGTGGGTTGCCTTTGGTTTTTTACAATTTTGTACACTGAGGCTGGGCAGAGTTGTAGGTTCCTAGTGCTCAACAGAAGTTACGAATTACGAGAGTTGGGACAGGACACTTACCTTTGGGGCGAGCAAAACGTTCTACCCGCTAGACACTAGGGAGAGCAAATGCCGTCACGTCATGGAAAATCACCAACGACGGCTTCCCGTTGCCGGCTCGTGAGAGGATGAGTTCCCTTACGTTGGGTCAATGTTCGTTTAAGCTGCAGGATGCATGAGGGAAATAAAGGGCGTTTTTGGCTGTTAGGAATGAGTTTCTGCTGCTGATTCAGGTCGAAAGGCAAGAAGTCTAACGTTTTAAGGGAAGCAAAAGTGGAAGGACTNCCGTTGCCGGCTCGTGAGAGGATGAGTTCCCTTACGTTGGGTCAATGTTCGTTTAAGCTGCAGGATGCATGAGGGAAATAAAGGGCACTCTTGGCTGTTAGGAATGAGTTTGTGCTGCTGATTCAGGTCGAAAGGCAAGAAGTCTAACGTTTTAAGGGAAGCAAAAGTGGAAGGACTGAGAACATAGGAAGAAACCTGTAAGAAATCATTGCGTTCTTTTCGTGTTGAGATAATGTTCAGCAAGTCGTTTAGGTGTCTAGCCAGTCTCTCTTTTCCACCTCCATTTGGCCAAAAAGTCGCCATTCATGGAGAGCGCGTATAACTAGCGAAACGTGACTATGAAACGCCAAAACTAATATAGACACCATTCCTCTTTCCTGAATGTTCAAAGGCTACACCATTCATTTTCGCGGATGCAATCCTTTCTCTGTTTGTTAGGGTCAGAAGAAAGTAGATAATTCGATGGATTATCTGTAGCTTAGTACGGAAATACCTTAGTACATTCCTAAAAGAACACGAGCAAATAGGATGCGACCAAAACGAAGCAAATCGCTCTCGGAGTATGAAGGCATCCTTCTTCTGTGTGCATTCATTCAATCCATACCGCGTGGCACAGGTCCCTCCTGAAATATTTTCGTCCTCATGTGTATATGGAGGAAACTAGTCATATGTGAAAGTTAAGTTTACTGACTGTTTGCCAGAAAATCATCGTTTTACTTCGACAGCCCTCAATGAATCATTAAAGGGCGATTATACAACGTTCGCAATCATGTTGGGTTGAGGAGACCTTTGTTTTTTTGTGTGCCGAATTAGCGACGTATATTATCTCTTTTAATATGCACATATCACGAAGGAAGGGGTAGCTGCTCTAAACCACATTAACAGCATTGATACCACCTAGCGATAACAGGGTGGTCAATGTTCCACACAGTTCTGGAAATTGTAGATAGTATGGATAAAATCCGCACACCTTGCAAAATGTTCGGATTTTCGTTAGTGAATAATCATCGGTAAGTTCAGGGAACTTCTCCAGAAGAGGTTGCTCTCTATCTGAATTAGGCTCTACTGCACTCAAAAGGGATACTCCTATAAATAAGACTGGAAGAAAAGAGCCTCATGATGAAGAAATTTTTGATCCGTACCCACCAAAATGTGCGTTAAATCAACAATTCATGAAAAAAATATTAGGCTATCACAGAAATAATTGAGATTTTCACGTTATACCAAAATTCACCTGCCATTATAGGGTGGGAGGCAAGTAGATTAGCTGAACATTGCTGAACGCTTACGATTTCGAACTGACCACTCTGCCATCGAAAAGACGCTTAACATCAATCGTGCTTAGAGAGAGGACTCAGCTTCAGAAGAGAACATTGTTCTTGGTTTGGCGGAATTCTTTTTCAGAAAACCTGTGTACATCAACCCCGTCGTAGGCCGTCGCTTTTGTACCAAAACGCAGTAGGGAAAAGTTAGGAGATCGACTAAATGCACGGCGTGGAGTAAAGACAAAGCAGTGGGAATAAGCCTAGTGGGAAATTTGAGAAAATCGAGTAAAGAGGAACACATGAACTTACGAAGAAAAACAAAAGTTGCATATGATGCACTTTGTTGTGAACTGCATCAACGTCGGAAAATGAGTTTTTCGCAACCGTTCCAAAGCAGTTGGATGATTAAATGATCGCTGCACCACAATCTGTGAACTCCTTACAAGCAATTAATAAATGTTGAATACCTCTCCATAGAGGTAATACTACCTGTTTGATTTTCCCGGTAAAAATTCAACCTCTCGAGAATCCTCTTATCAGGCTGAACCATTCTCCCAGAATCGTACTGTTGTGACGTAGAACTAACACAGCCAAGACTACGAGTGCTGTGCTCTCAGAGAAAGAAACTCTTGTCTGTCACCCAAGGCAATACTAAAATATAAAGGATTAAGTCTATGGCCGTTGATCAATCTCGTCTGCGGGATGCGCCCCCACATTCGACTCCATTCGGACTTGAGTGGCGTATTGAATGCGTAAGTAGCCTATACAATAACTTGCAGTGGCCACCGTTGGGCAAGTCAGTGCTTTTATCCTCCCAGACGACTCTCGTTCCAACTAACCGACCTTGGATGGATGGAAGGCTTGGTTGGGCCAGGCGGATATTGATCCGGGATTCGAACCCGTGACTATGTGTGTGTGACAGTGCGCCATTTGCCACTACACCACCTCCACCCGCGAAAACTGAAACAGCAAAATATTAGAACTAGTATGAGAACAAACTTCTTCTCAGTTCGGGCCTCTGCCGAGTTCAGTAAATTAACCAAGAAACACTCCATGCCTAAGGGGTTGCCCCATCTCAAGCGAATTTTGTCTACATTTTATATTTGAGAGCTAAGTCGCTTTTTTTTATTATATCATGATGCTTAGAGGATAGT